GTTGGGATTTTCCGCATTTTTATTCAAATTTCTATAATATTGAGACTTCCGCTTATTATTTAATTTTGTTACTTTTGTATTATTGCCGAAAAATTGTTAAAAGGAATTATGCTATAAATGGAAAGGTAATTAAAATTGGCTTGCCTAGCTCTCATTTGTAGGCGCCATCATGACTCCCGAAGGTGGGAAATCCGGGTCGTGACAATATATATATATATATATATATATATATATATGTGTATCGACCGGTCCGGTCGTACTAGTAACTTACGTCCCGTACTCCCTACTACNCCTAGCTCTCATTTGTAGGCGCCATCATGACTCCCGAAGGTGGGAAATCCGGGTCGTGACAATATATATATATATATATATATATATATATATCGTGATGACCCGGCCGGTCGTCTTAAGAATTTACGCCCCGATCCCCCATTAACTGCTTCCCCTAAGTTCATTTCTGCTATTTTGGTTTGCCGGGAAGTTCGGTATTGAGTTTCGGAGAGCTTTGGGACACTTAGTCCCTAAATGAGAGCTTAAGTGTTGAAAAGTGCTCCATAGTCGGAACAGTGTGAAGATGACCTCGGAATGGAAATCCGATGGTTCCGTTAGCTCCGTTAGGTGATTTCGGGGTTGGGAGCGTGTTCGGAATGTATTTTGGAAGTTCGTAGCTCATTTAGGCTTGAAATGCCGAAGTTTGAATTTTATATGTTTCCGGTCTGATAGTGAGTTTTTGATCCGAGGGTCGGATTGAAATTCCGGAAGTTACACTAGTTCTGTCATGTCATTTGGGATGTGTGTGCAAAATTTTAGGTCATTCGGACGAGGTTCGGGTAGGTTTTTGATCGAAAGCGTGTTTTGTTGGAATTTGAAGTTCTTAGGCTTGAATCTTTGATTAATTCGGGTTTCCAGCGTTGTTTTAGGTGTTTTTAAGATTGGTACAAGTTTGAATAAGGTATTAGGTGGTATTGGTTCTTTTGGTTGAGGTCCCGAGGGCCTCGGGATGATTTTGGGTGGTTAACAGAAGAATTTTGGAAGTTGAGAGGTAGAAGTTCTGCTGCTTCTGGTATCTTTTCGCTTCTACGGCTTGGGAACCGCAGAAGCGGCCTTGGTCATCGCAGAAGCGAAACTTGGACTCCTCAGTTTTTCAGCAGGTGCGGAAGGTTTGACCGCAGATGCGGTTCGTACCTGCGAGATTTGTACCGCAGAAGCGGAACCTGGCCCATTAAGTGAAAACCGCAGAAGCGGCTTGGTTTACGCAGAAGCGGTTCCTTGTCCGCAGAAGCGGAAATACTTGTTCAGGAAAGGGAATTTCGAGGGTTGAGTTTCAAAAGTTGGAAAAATCAATTGAGAGCTCGGGAGAGGGCGATTTTGAGTGGGTTTTGAAGTGAAGATCATTGGGTAACGTTTTCTTAATCCCTTCTAGTTATATTTCATCATTTTGTAGTTAAATCCATCATTAAAATTCAAATTTGGGATTAAAATTTGAAGAATTGGTTAAAACTTCTTAGGCCAAACTATTGGGTTTTGAGTGAGCATTTGACCTCCGATTTGGGAGATTTTTATATGGTTAGACCCGTGTGAGTACGAGGGTTCTGAAAACGTGAAAATTATTCGATTCTGAGGCGTTGGCCTGAAGGGCATTTTGGTCATTTCACCTAATTTCACGTCGTAGCTTTGAATTTAATAGCAAAACCAGGTGTTTGCGATGTTATTTACAATGTGTAATTGAATTGAATAGATTTGGGCCATTTGGAGTCGGATACTCGTGGCAAGAGCGTGGTTTCTAGTTGATATTGAGCCGGTTTGAGGTATGTGGCTTGTCTAACCTTGTGTGGGGGACCTTTCCCCTTAAGACATGATCTTAGAATATTTGAATGCCTCGTACGTGAGGTGACGAGCGCGTACTTGAGCTAATTGTTGTAAACCCGTTTCTGCTTGAAGTATTTAAATTGAGATTTCCTGTTTACTTGTTCATTTTAGACTGTAAGTTTATACCTGTGCTAGCTTAGAGACGCATGTTTAGCTGGCTTACTTGCTTATTTGTTTAGCTGTACTATTTGTACTCTGTGAAGCATGTTAGGCTAGAATTTACTATTACTTGTCCTGATTTTAGCATTTATTCTGAGATTATGGGTTGTTGTTGTTGTGTGTTTAATTTTGGACTACGGGACGGCTTCCCGGGAGATCCCCTGTACTTGAGATATTCTGGACTGGGGGTGCGGGATACCAAGAGATCCCTGGCACATGTGTTTCTATATATATTGGGATACCAAGAGATCCACGGCTTACTTATTGAGGATACCCAGAGATCCTCGGGATACCAAGAGATCCCCGACTTACTTATTGAGGATACCCAGAGATCCTTGGGATACCAAGAGATCCCTGACTTACTTATTGAGGATACCAAGAGATCCTTGGGATACCAAGAGATGCCCCGGCTATTATTCCTTGTTGAGGGCAGTTTTCCTTGTATTGCTACCTTTGCTTTCTATTACTGTTCTTCCTTATTTACCTGGTTTAGATTCTCGCTGTAGACTTTATTTAAACTGCTTCAGTTATCTCATTATTTATTATGTTTTATCTCAGTAGGGCCCTGACCTTCCTCGTCACTACCCAACCGAGGTTAGGCTTGGCACTTACTGAGTACCGCTGTGGTGTACTCATGCCTCTTCTGCATATGTTTTTCATGTGCAGATCCAGGTACTTCCTCCCAGGCGTATCATCCTCGTGGTGGAGAGTCCTAGCTGAGACTTGAGGTATATCTGCTACGTCCATTGACCAGGAGTCTCTACTCTATTCCGGCTTTAGCAGATAGTTCCTTTCTTTCCTTTCATGTTGTTTAGACATTCTGGTGTAGAGCAGATTACTACATTCTATTAGCCGGTGTTTCCCGTGAGTTTCCAGGTTTTGGGATTTTGTTGTAGACTTCCGCATATTTTTGAGTTGTATAGGCCGAGTGGCCTTATATACAGTTGTTATTTCTGTATGTTCAGTTTTAATTAATTATTCCGCAAATGTTAATTTGTTATTCCGCACTGTTAGGCTTACCTAGTTGTAGGAACTAGGTGCCATCACGATATGTTCATGGAGGGTGAACTGGGGTCGTGACATATGTATACTACCTCGACAATGCACTTCACGCATAATCTGCCTTGTGACAGCCCCGCTTCCTCTCTTTACTTGTTGAAAGATTCTGCAGTTCCTTTCAATCCATACATTGTATATTGTACCAGCCAAGCTCAATCTGTATAGTTCTTCTTTGGCACCCTTTCCAGTTATGTTGCTTGTGGCCCATTCAACTTCATCTTCCCAGTTATACACTTGCCTTGTTATTCCCAGCCATGTTAGCACCTTACTCCATATCTCTGCCGAGTACCTGCAGGAGAAGAAGAGATGTTGATGGCTCTCCAACTCTTGCTCACACAGTGGACATGTTTGCTCTACTTGTATCCCTCATTTGCTCATTCTGTCTTTGGTAGATAATCTTTCCTGTAGTGCTAGATAGATAATGAAGATCTATTTTGGGCACCCTTTATTGTTACAAATCAGTCTTTTCCAGCTTACACTCTCATTTGCAAGGTCTCCACGTAATTGGTTATACATGCTGCTGATAGAATATGTTCCAGCCATCAGAATCTTTTCTATCTCTAATCCTGCTTCAGTGATATACTTTGCTGCATGTAAAATCTTCTTCATTATCCACGATGCTTGTTTGGCTTCCACTGTCCAGGGGTCTCTCCCTTTAGTATAGTACACATGAACCCATTTGACCCACAGTTTATCCTTCTTCTTGCATATATTCCATAAATGCTTCAGCATAGCAGCCTTGTTCCATGTAGCCATGTCAATGATGTTTAGGCCCCCTTTTGATTTTGGTTTGCATAGCTTATTCCATGCCACCAAAGCTTTTTTACTTGTATTTGCTTCACCTGTCCATAGGAACTTCCTGCATATAGTCTCCACTGCTCGAATGATCTTCTTTGGTAGAGGAAAGATCTGAGACCAAAAGGATTGTATGGCTATCAGCACACTTCTAACCAGCTGTAATCTTCCTGCATAGCTTAGGAATTTCACAGTCCATTGCTTAATTCTTGCCAGCATTTTATCCAAAAGGGGTTGACATTGGTTTATTGACAGTCTCTTGGAGCTCAGTGGCACTCCCAGGTATCTAAAAGGAAGTTCTCCTGCTGTGAATCCAATTTTCTGCAGTATCTCCTGTTTCCCAGCTTCTGTTACTCCCCCAAAGTATACACAACTTTTGTTTTGGTTTGCAATTAGACCCGATGCTTTGGAGAAGCTTTGAAAGCAATCATATAGCAGCTGCACAGAAACCACATCTCATCTACAAAACAAAAGCAAATCATCTGCAAAACTGAGTTGGATAATCTGCAATTTTTCACACCTAGGATGAAAGTTAAAATTTGGCTGCTCCCTCAAGTTCCTCAGTATCCTTGTTAGGTATTCCATTGCTAGCACAAAGAATAGTGGAGACATTGGGTCTCCTTGTCTCACTCCTCTTTTAGCTGCAAATGGAGCAGTGGGACTCCCATTAATGGTTATTGAATAAGACACTGTCTTTATGCACTCCATGATCCACTCCACAAATTTCTTGGGAAAGCATAGTCCTGTGAGTACTTGTTCCAGAAACCCCCACTCAAGAGAATCATATGCTTTTTGCATATCTATCTTTAACATACATCTTGGAGAAGTACCTTTCCTTCCATACCCTTTTACTAGCTCATGACTAAGTAGAATATTGTCAGTTAGTACTCTTCCAGGTATAAAAGCTGCTTGGCTCTCATCCACCAAGGTGTTCATCACTTGTGCTAGCCTCCATGTTATCATCTTGTATATAATCTTGTATAATGTGGTGCAGCATGAGATTGGCCTGTATTCTCTGATAGAAGCAGGATTCTTCACCTTAGGAATTAGAGTGACTACTTTAATATTAATTGCCTTATGCATCTTCCCTGTGTTGAAGAAGTCCAACACAGCTTCAGTTATTTCATCACCAGTAATATGCCATATTTCTTGAAAAAGTATGAGTTGAAGCCATCTCCTCCTGGTGCTTTCATATCAGCAATCCCCTTTAAAGCTTGTAAGACCTCCTCTTTAGTAAAAGGTCTTACAAGCTGCATCTGTTGCTCCCTTGAAAGTACTGGTCCATTTTTTATCCACCCAGGGTGAATTGCAGGGATACTCTGAGCAGCAGTTCCTAGAAGTTGCTTATAGAACCCAGTTATTTCCTCTTCAATACATTTAGGCTTTGTCAATACACATCCTTTGTTATCCATTAGCTTTGTTATCTGATTCTGCATTTTTCTTCCCTTCATAGTAGCAAAAAAATATGCACTATTAGTGTCCCCCTCCTTCAGCCATTGCACACGAGATTTCTGTTTGTATATTGATTCTTCTATCATACTCCATTTTTCCAGTTGAGCTAGTATTTTCCTCTCTTCTTCAAATAGACTCCCTGGTATGTCTGCATGGTTCATTTTCCTTTGTATGTCTTTCAACTGTTCTCTGCTAGCTTTTATCTTCCCTGTGATATTCATGTATTCTGTTCTATTAAACCTCTTCAGAGCTTCTTTAACATTTTTCAAATTCTGCCAAAGTGCTGCCATTTTCCTTCCTTGTGAGTACCAATTTTCTTTTATTATCTTTTCAAATTCAGGGTGATCCACCATGCAATTATAAAACTTGAAAGGCCTCTTTTTGTTATCACAATAATCTTCAATTTCTATGCATATTGGAGAGTGATCGGAGAAGAGAGACTCCATTACATGTGCTTGTACTGGAGGCATACTAGTTATCCATTGGTCATTCACAATTGCCCTATCTATTCTGCTGAAGACATGGCTGTTTGTCCATGTATATGACTTCCCAACAGTTGGTAATTCAGTTAGGCTATAATCTTCCAGTAACTCCCTAAAATCTTTTGTTTCATGATCTTGCACTTCTCTGCCATTCATTCTATCATCCACCCCTACGACTGCATTGAAATCCCCCATCATCAACCATGCTCCTTTGATTTGTTTCTCTCTGTTCCTGAGTGAACTCCACATATCTTTCCTATCTTATACTGTATGTAGACCATACACTGCAGTGAACTGGAATTCTGTATTACTGTGCACCATTTGAACTTGTCCATGGATAGTTTGAGCAGTACTCTCTATGATTGTGAAGTTCATAAATTTTGGATTCCATATTACCCATAATCTGCCTTTACAGGAATTTGTGACATTGTGACACCAACTCCACCCCGGCATTATTTTATTTATGATTTGATCAGCTTTTGTTTCATGAACTCTGTGTTCACGTATTGCTATCATCTTCACCTTATTTTCCTTCAAGAACTCCTTTAGCTCCTTGTGCTTAAACACCTTGTTTAGTCCCCTCACATTCCAAGCTACTATCATAGTTGTTTGGAAGGGTTTTGTGATATCATCTCTGCTCCCCCTCCTCCACTTGAACTACATTCTGCCTCATTAGTTCTTTGTTCTTGTCTTCCATCCATTAAGGTGTCAAAATAGTTCAGCACAGTGATATGCTGCCCAGGAATTATCACTTTCTGCCCTTTTGCAGCTGATTTATTCTTGACTTGCTGCCATGGCTCTCCTGTTTCCATCCTTGGATTCTCTGTAGTTTGTTGTTCAATTCTCTTTTCTGGGATTTCCTTTTAATTTCCATTCTGCACCTTGTTAGCTCCATTTACTGGTTTCCATTCTATTTTTTGCCTTTTGTCTGTGGCTTGTTGTTGCTGTACTATCTTCTTCTCCACCATTCCTGCTTGAACCTGTTGTTTTTGGCAGTTATGTCCACTGCATACACTTTGAACAATATGCAGGTTTCCAGTCATACCATAACTCTTGGTCAATCAATCTGCCCTTTGGATCCCTTATCTTGATCACATTTGGCAACTCCTTTGTCACATCTATCTCAATGAGTATTCGTGCATATGAAACTCTTTGTGCATTTGTTGTACATGTATCAGCATAGATAGGTTTTCCCAGCCCACTCCCAATTTTGCTTAGTGCTTTTGCACTCCAGCAAACCAGTGGCAAATTTGGCAATTTGACACAAATTGGAATTGTTTTCAAATCTTCAGCATCAAGATCAAAGTCCATTGTCCATGCTTTAATTATCACTGGCCTATTATTCAACATATGAGGCCCTGAGTACATCACTTGGTTCCTTTCTTCCATACTTGAGAAATTGATTACAAAATACCCAGCATTATGGTAAAACACCTTTGCTTTGTTGCGTAATTACCTTGAGCTGCTACAAACCTCTCCATAGCTCCAATTGTAGGAGATCCCCCAATAACATACGCTATTGCTGCATGTTTCCATTTCTCAATCTCACTTTCCATGTCTTCATGTTCTAGTTCTACAATCACCTCTCCCTCGACAATTGCTGGTGGTATGAATGTCGGGTCCATACCTCTTGCTGCCATTTTGTTCTCTTCAAATAGCGTCGCCCATGTTTTTTCCCCTGTTTTTCCTGATTCCAGCTGCACTTTTCGTTGTGCCCCATCACCTTGAACTTGCTGTTGCTGCAGATCTGAGCCTTGGATCTGGATCTGTCCTGTAGTCGTTGAGCCTCGTACCACTTGCATGTGCATCAGATCTGTTATTGTAGGTGCTGGGGTTTTGGTGCCTTCGCTACGAGCAGGGAGATTTGGCCAAATTTCTGGGCTACTTGTTGCATGTTACTTTCCTTTGTTCCCTGCTACTTCCTCGTTCATTCTCCTTCCATTAGCATTGGAATTGCTCCCACTTGCTCCTGGTTTTGCCGATGGAATAGTGTTAGCAACTGTCGTTTCTGCATTTTTTGGTGTTCCAATTCGAATACCTTCTGGTTTCATTTCCTCTGTGAGCTTGCTTACTTCCCCTAGTACTTGTTTAGTTTCCTTCGAGGGCCGACCTCTAGCCCTCCCCATTTTCGGCGTGCGCAGTTGAGCAATTCACGCTTAACGTGCACCGAGAGAGAAAGAGAGAGAAAGATCAGTTTAAAAGTGTATAAATAACATATGCATATATACATGATTTTTCCTAAAAGAAACACATGATTTATAATATACCACAAACTTACATTATATTTTTTTTTCACGAAATATATGTATTTTATTTCATTGGAATATACAGATAAATAATTTTGCTAGGATTAAGTTGAATAAAAAGGTCCATGTATAAAAAGGAAAAAAATTGTTATGGAATGGATCAATAATATATATTTAAACATAAAGACGTATATAAACAACATATGCATATATACATGAATTTTCTAAAAATATATGATTTATAATGTATATATATACCACAAACATACATTATAATTTTTTCATAAAATATATGTATTTTATTTTATCAGAATATAAAGATGAATAATTTGCTACATTACATTATATAAAACGGTCCATGTATGGAAAGGAAAAAATCTGTTACGGAATGGTTTGGTTTCTAAAGAAATCATAAAACATGTTATGGAATGGAGAGAAACAATAGGGAAAGATATTAAATACTAGGACTGCCTTTTTAAATAACTTGATTGTTGCTGATTTGAATTGAATTAATCTGCTATATGAATAAATATTTTACTGCCATATTTGTTAATCATTAATTAATGCTAATCTTTTGTATTATATTTTTAATAGTGTGCTATAAATGAAAGTAGCCCTTTTCTTTTTCAGCCAAGGCCGAGAAAGAGCCCAAATGCATTGATTTGGGCCATAGACCAAACCGTAAGTTAGGCTTGTGACTTCGAACTAAACATCGTAAAAATTGCACGGGGCGCCCTATTTGGGCGCCCCTCTTTAACCTGTAGCTGCTTTGTCTTTTTGTTTGCATCCGTACCCACTTTTTAAAAAACTCCAGCTTCCCTTTATAACTGAGAAACTTCAGCTCTATAGCTGAAGTTTCCGGGTTACTAAACAAAAACTTCAGCTCTAGAGCTGAAGTTTTTATTTTATAACTAGAGCTGAAGTTTCCGGGTTACTAAACAAAAACTTCAGCTCTAGAGCTGAAGTTTTTATTTTATAACTAGGAAACTTCAGCTCTAGCTGAAGTTTTTATTTTATAACTGGCAAACTTCAGCTTTAGAGCTGAAGTTTTTATTTTATAACATAGAAACTTCAGCTCTAGAGCTGAAGTTTTCCAGTTACAACACAAAAACTTCAGCTCTAGAGCTGAAGTTTTTCAGTTACAACACAAAAACTTGAAGTTTTTATTTTATAACTGGAAAACTAGAGTTGAAGTTTTTATTTTATAACTGGCAAACTTCAGCTTTAGAGCTGAAGTTTTTATTTTATAACATAGAAACTTCAGCTCTAGAGCTGAAGTTTTCCAGTTACAACACAAAAACTTCAGCTCTAGCTGAAGTTTTTCAGTTACAACACAAAAACTTGAAGTTTTTATTTTATAACTGGAAAACTAGAGCTGAAGTTTTTATTTTATAACTGGAAAGAGCTGAAGTTTTTGTTTTATAACTTGAAAACTTCAGCTCTAGAGCTTAAGTTTTCCAGTTATAAAATAAGAACTTCAGCTGGAAACTGCTTAAGTTTTTATTTTATAACTGGAAAACTTAAGCTGGAAACTGCTTAAGTTTTTATTTATAACTGGAAAACTTAAGCTGGAAATTGCTTAAGTTTTTATTTTATAACTGGAAAACTTAAGCTGGAAACTGCTTAAGTTTTTATTTTATAACTGGAAAACTTAAGCTGGAAACTGCTTAATTTTCTATTTTATAACTAGAAAACTTAAGCTCTAGAGCTTAAGTTTTTATTGTATAACTAGAAAACTTAAGCTGGAAACTGCTTAAGTTTTTATTTTATAACTGGAAAACTTAAGCTGGAAAACTGCTTAAGTTTTTCGGTTACAAAGACAAAAACTTCAGCTAAAGTTTTCCAGTACAAAAGAAAAACTTCAGCCCCGTGGGCTGAAGTTATGTGAAAAGCGGGTACGCTTGCAATTTTTTTTGTAAAGCGGGAACAAGTTAAAATATGGCACAAAAAACGGGTATAGATGCAAATGCCCCCTAAACATCGCCCCCGCTGACATATAAATGGCCGGAAAAGGTTATTTACGTAAATTAAGCTCGTTTCCGTTATATTGGCGGTTCGGACAGTTTCTTATTGGGAAAACCCAAAAGGCTTCACCCAATCGAAACGCCATTGTATTTCTGTGAATCAAATTGAGAAACCCCTGACGTTAAGATGAGGCGTGGTTCATCAGAGACGAAGTTGTTGCAAGAATTGCTTCTGTACGCGGCGAGCGCTGCTCTGAGCAGCCTCGTTTTGTTTGTGGGCCTCCGACAACTTGACCCGAACCGACATGCCTCCAAGAAGGCTCTTGAGCACAAGAAGGAAATTGCTAAGCGCCTTGGTCGACCTCTTGTTCAAACCAATTCCTATGAGGTTACTCTCCAGTCTCGTTTGTTTTTTCTCACTCTTTCTTTTCCCCCTTTTTGAGTTTTTTTAACATAAAACTAAAGTCGCTTCCTTTTGTTATTTATACTTGTATTTTTGGTTTTATTTTGTTTGCTTTACATTTTCCTGTTCATTATGGTATATTATTGTTTAGAATGAATATTATGGTATAGTAGCGGAGCCAAGATTTTAACTTTACTTGACTCTGGATTTTAGAATGCTGACTCAAGTGTTAACTGGGTTCAATCATGATAAATGTTAGAAAAAAATGAGTCTCAACGGTACATATGCTACTTATTAATTAGTATTATTTTGTGTAGACCATCCTTTATTCAGTGTACAGTCTGTTGGTAAATAATCACGTCATTGTGCTTGTCAAACAGATAGGTTGTGTTTGGTGTGGAGGAATATTGTACTTAGGGGTGGCAAACGGGCGGGGGAGTCTGACATGGGCGGGTCGAAATGGGTAATGCATAACGGATAAATTATCCGACCCAATACATATTTAATACGGATAAAAAACGGGTTAACCGGCGAATAATATGGATATCCATATTATCCATGACTTTTTGAATATGATCACTTGAATTCCTAGTCTCCCAAACTTGAGGAACTTCCAATTTGAGGCTCCACAAATGT